CCAGGCACTGCCAGGCAGCACTGGCTACAGCCAGGCACTGCTGGGCATCACCGGGTATAGCCGGGCACTACCAGGCACTGCTGGGCATCACCGGGTATAGCCGGGCACTACCAGGCACTGCTGGGCATCATCGCATACAGCTGGGCACCACTGGGTACAGCCGGGCACTGCCAGGCACTGCTGAGAATCACCGGGTACTGCCGGGCACCCAGGCACAGGCGGGCAGCGCCGGGCAGGCACTGCGTGGAGCGCCTGCAGGCCCGGAGAGGCCGGTGGGGCCCGGCTGCGCCCCAGCAGACAGGGGGTCCCCTCCCACCCTCCCCCGCGGCACTAGGACCCCTCCGAGCCATCCCGGCTGTCCCTGCCCAGAGGAGCCGTCACTGCCTCACAGCAGCTGTGACGGGGACGGTTAAAAATAGCGGTGGCGGCGATGGCTGCCCGCTGCCGCCTCGCCGCGCGCTTCCACCATATCCACGGCACCAATGTCCGCCTGGACGCTTCGCGGACGCGGGCCACCCGGGTGGAAAGCTTTGCCAACGGGCTCTGCTTCAGCCAGGAGCCGCTGGCGCCCGGGCAGATTTTCCTGGTGGAGATCGAGGAGAAGGAGCTGGGCTGGTGTGGGCACCTGCGCGTGGGGCTGACGGCCCACGACCCCCAGAGCCTGGAGGTGGTGCCCGAGTATTCGCTGCCAGACCTGGTCAATATGGGGGACACCTGGGTGTTCGCCATCACCCGGAGCCACAACCGTGTCACAGTGGACGGGGAGGAGGCGCGGGTGCGGAGCCCGGCCTGGGAGCCCTTCCTGCTGATCGAGCGGGTGAGGATCCCCCGTGACACGCTGGTGGGGCGCAGCAGGCCCGGGCGCTACAGCCACATCCTGGACGACCTGTACAAGGCAAACGTGCTGCCTGCAACTGCCCGGCGCAGCCGGATCGGCGTGCTATATGCCCTGCAGCGTGACGGCACCGCCGACATGCACATCATCATCAACGGAGAGGATATGGGGCCGAGCGCCAGGCACCTGCCCACCAGCCGCCCGCTCTACGCCGTGGTCGATGTCTTCGCCTCCACCAAGAGCGTCCGGGTCATCCCGGTGGAATACGGCTGTAGGTACCTGCCCCCTCCCTGGGGCACGTCCTGCACGGGCCAGGAGCTGGTGGGGGGGCTCCGGTGGGGTCACCCCCTAGTCCCCAACAATGGAAGTGTCAGAACGTGCCGCGGGGCAGACTGACACAGGGTAGAGGGCACAGGAGAGCCCCCGGCCCCTGCAGAGCACAGGCAAGACCCCGCACTGCCGCTGACGGGCAGTGTCTGCCGAAAGCTCTGCTGTGTGAGGCTGCGCCGGGGCCAAGTTCGCGCCAGCTCCCAGCACCAGCGGTCGGGGCAGAGCACGGCCTGGTCGCCCTTCCCAAGCAGAGCGAGGGGGGCGAGTGTTCTGGGCTGCTGCAGACCTAGGGCTGTCGGACCGCGGAGCTGTGCCCCTGCTGCACCACACTTATCCCCAGACAGACAGACACCCCTGACCGGAGCCCAACGCCGGTGCTTACAGAGCTGCTTCTCAGGGGCTGGTGAGCCCTTGCTGTGCCCTGCCTTGCCCCACGGGCACGCAGCAGCCCGGAGCTAAGCAACGTCCTGCCTTGGAATCAAAACATCTGGCTGCACCCCACTGCCTGCCCTGGCACTCATGCCGTGCCCCCGCGCCTGCCGCGTGCCCGGGCTGCGGGGTGCCCAGGGCAGACACCCCGTGATGTCATTGGAGATTGGGCAATATCCAGCATCCTTTGGGCAGCTGGGGAGGGGCTGGGAAGGCCAGTGCTGGTCGCTGGCTTTTGCGAGGAGTCAGGCTAATAAGTGCTAATTACCACCATACTGGACAAGTCAGCAGGTGCTGAGGATTAGGTGAGACGAGAGCCAGAAGGAGAACTGGTGCCGGCTGCCCCTGACCGCCGGGAGCCACCACTTCTCCCGCTGGTGCAACCTTCAGCTGCTTCTGTCTCAGGGCTGAAATCCATGATTCTCCCTGCCAGCTGCTGTGAGCCGATTATCCAAACAGGGAGGTTAAATGTGCCCAGCTGTCCAGGCCACCCTGCCCCGGGAGCATGTTGAGGGTGACCAGCCGGACCCCACTCTGCAAGAGGCCGCTGAGCTGCCTCGAGTGTCCCATCCCTGGCCGCTCGCGAGGGACTCGCGCTGGCAGCACGTACCTCTGGGAGAGCTGCCCTCTCCCACCGCAGCCACGGGCTGTGGGTCCCTGCGAGCTCCGCGGCTGGCACAGGCACCGCTGCAGAGGTGCAATCTGGCTTCCTCCCCTCCACTAAGATGTCAGTAGCTCTGGTTTCTGCAACACTTCCGCAGGGTTTAAAAATCAGTCTTAGTGCGGTTCTGTTCCTGGATGGGGTCTGGCTGGTGAAGTGAAAACCAGAAGTGAGCAGCTGAGCTGCTAGCAACATGCGATGTGGCACGGGGGCGGGGAGCAAGAAAGGCAAAGGGCATCAGCTGCCCATCACCCAGCACTCGGCACGACGCAGCCCCACGCCGCCGAGGCAGAGATAAGCACCCCAGCCATCCGAAAACAGCCCCAAGGTTGGGAGCCGGCTGGGCGCAGCGCGGTAGTACTTGGCAGAGTTCTGCTCTGCCCCGGGCGAGCCCCCAGAGGCACCGGCCCCCAGCCGGAGACGCGCTCAGCTGCGTGCAGGTGAAATGGCCGAGTCCCAGCTGCGGCTCCACTCCAGCCGAGTGCGATGCCCTGGGGTGCTCTCCTCCAGTTTGGCTCTTGGAGGCAGTGGATGAACCAAGGCCCACAGGCTGCGCCTGAGTCAGATCATTTAAGATCTGAGTGCCGGCCACAGCTAATTGCACCCACGCCGCTGAGCCACCAAGGGCTCCAGAAAGAGGAATCCCACAGGGGCACTTGTCACAGGAGCAGGAACCGGGCAGAGCCCGTGCTGGCAGCCATGGGAATGGTTCAGAACGTGGTTGTCTCAAAGGCATCACAGAAGCTGTCTCTGCAGGCAGCACAGCCCCGGCCTGCAGGCGCCCACCCGGCAGCCTGGCATGGCACCGGTGGAAGCAGACCAAGGGAGCGGGATGAAAGGAAAGCGCGGTGTGGGCACGTGAAACCCCAGGGAGCCGCTCCACACCTCTCAGAGAAAACAAATGCCATGGTAATGCACGGCTTGGGCGTGTAACTGTCCTCTCAACCTGCCGCTGAGTAATGGGAAGAGCTTCACTGCCCAGGGTCCTCAAGCTCCCGTCCCAGCCAGAGCTGCCTGGCACCAGTTCTTCCGCACAGCTGGCTCGAGCCCAGGGCAGGACAATGCCTGCTCCTGCAGCAGAGCAAACTCACCCACTGCTGCCCTAAAACACAGTGCCTCTGGGGAGCCTCAGGGCCCGTCTCCTCCATACCCCTCTGCTCTCAGCCTCACCAGCAACTTGGCCAGCTCACTTGCTTCTTTCTGTTCTCTTCCAGTTCCCTCCCTACAGACCCTCTGCCGGCTGGTCATCCAGAAGCACATCGTCCACCGCCTGGCCATCGACGGCCTGGACCTGCCCCCGCCACTGAAGAGCTTCTGCCAACACGAGTGAGGTGTGGAGGGTGCTGCCCTGGGCTGCCATCCACGCCGACAGCCCCACTGGTGATGGCCGGCAGGCTGCCCTGGCAGGATCCGTGCCCCTAGCTGCCCTGTCACCCCTGGGGCGCCTGCGCACACGGCATGTGCCGCCAAAGGGCCGACGCAAGAGCACAAGCAGCGCCTCAGAGGGACTTTCCTCCATGCAGAGGGGTGCGGCAGGGCCAGTGCGCGGGCAGGAGGGTGCCACAGGTCAGAGTGAGCAATAAAGCGCTTCCAGCCAGAAAGCGAGCATGCTGGGGGGGTTGCTGGCACATGGAGCAACGCAGAGGGAGCGCGGATTGCTGCCCGACCCACCACGGGCCCACTGCCATTGAGGCTGTGCTAACTGCTGGCAGCGGGAGGCCCCCGCGCACCAGGGTACCGGTGGAGCTGGGCTGGCTGGGGTGGGCACCGCAGGACCCGCAGAACCCCTGCAGCCAGGACACCCGGCCCTGCCGGTGGGGTCAGCACCCTGTGGTACAAGGCTTCGACACAAGCCCAGTGCCAGGCCAGTTCTCAACAGGGCAAGGCCAGTGCTGGGCAGCTCTGGGGGCTGGTGTGCTGCCCGGCTCCCATCTGGAGGAGGAAGCTGCGGCTTTGGGTTTTTTGTTAGTCCCTAGCCAAGGGGACTTTCTTCCCCTTCCATGTCAGGGCATTTTGTGCGGCTGCATGGGGTGCCTCAGGGGAGCTGCCTTCCAGTAAGGCGGGAAGAGTTCCATCAAAGGAGGGCTTGGGGGGCTAGGACCCCCCTGCGCTTCAGCAGCCACTTGTGGGAGCAGCTCCCCCCTCCAGCAAGGAACAAAGCCAGGCTCAGGACCTCTCCGTGGCCCAGGAACGAAGCTGGGATCACCCAGGTGGATCAGAGCAAGGGCTGGGATGGGTGGAGCACGGGAGGGCACAGCACGATGCTCACGTGGAGGGTAAATTACAGCCGGGTGGTTGTCTGGGCCAGGCAGTTTCGCTCTTGGGAAAGATGTTTACCCAGAGAGCGAGGATGAGTTATTTCCTGTGCTCCCAATGTGGAGGGGGACGGGGCGGATGCCAGAGGGAAACCCGCAGCGCCCAGGGAGCTGCACTGGCAGCAGCTGTTGCTCAGGCACATGCCTGTGGCCACAGAGCTGGTCACAGTGACCTGGTGCAGGGTCCAGCTATCCCACCGGCTGGGAAGGGGAGCCCTGCACTCCCCAGCTCCAGGAGCCGGGACTGGGCCCTCCTCCAAACCCCTCATCCTTTGGCTGGTGGGGATGGCAGCTGGTGTTCCCGCAGTGCCTGTGCTGGGCTGGCAGGAAAGGCACAGTCAGAGCTGCGCAGAGCAAGAGGCAGAGGGAAGAGCCCTCTGAAAATCGGAGGGGTGCCCACACGCGCCAGGAAGAGAGATGGTGAGGGGGCCGGCAGGCAGAGCCTTCCAGGCCTCTTCTACAGCATGGCTAAGGGGTGAAACAAGCAGCGCCAAGTTTACAGAAGGGTGTTTTCGGAAACACTACACTATATTTAGTCAGCGGGATTCGATACTATCAGATAATGTTACAAAACCCTCAATCAAGAGGAAATCCCCAACCATGCAGCAGTCCTACTCCTGCAACGGGCCAACTCTACTGAAACCAAAACATTAATGAAGGAAGCATTAATCGGGGAAAACACCAATTGTGACTGAAACACAGCGATGAGCGAGGTCTCTGATGCCCCCTGCCACGTCCTGCAGGACACAGCCTGCCATGTCCCAACATGACGGGCTTCAGAGCTGCTGGTGCTGGAGTTGTTCTTGCTGGCAAGGGGGACGGGGAGCTCACCTAGCCCGAGAACAACGCCTGAGGACCAGGCCTTGTTTACTCTTCTCGGCATTTTTCCTCCCCCACCCCGTATGTTTAAAGCCTTTGCTCTCCACCTCACCGCAGCTTTGTTTGCCCTGCTGTGACCCCCAGCACCCCTCCTGCCTCCCCCAGCACACCAGCTGTTGACAAGGGAGGGCGGGTTCCCCTTTTTGAGGAACTGAGAGCAGCTGCCGTAACCAGACAAACAACTCCTCTGCTCCAGACCACGGGCTGTGCTGCTGGCAGTGGAGATTGCCACCCTCTGGATCTGCTGCCTCCTAACAAGCCAGCTCACTCCACTAACTGGAGGGCACTGCAATGAGACAAGACCACCAAGAAGCACCATCCCAAGCCCTGCCTGATCTCACAGGCTGAGTGAGCCCCACCGTCCCATCCTGCCAGCAGGGAGGCACTGGCACAGAGACAGATGCAGCTCCTGAGCGATACAATGCCGATTTATTGGCTTTCTTGCACAACACATCGCAGCTGGATGCTGGAAGGACCTGCAGGTGCTGGCTGCAGATCAAGTAATTTTGTCACATGTTATTACACCATCACCTCCCACACCACACCACCCATGGTTGGCTCCCAGCCACATCTCCTGTTAGCCAGGTCAGTGGCCAGCTACCCATCCAGCATGATCCAGAGTTCCCAATCCGGTTCCTCAGCTGCCCTGTGCAAGATGTGACGCTCGCTCAGTGGATAAGGAGCCCAAATTGCCCCTTCCATGCTGAGCCTTGAGAGGGTGGCAGGCTGAGGGGAGTGCATGTGGAAGCCGGGACACCAGCAGAGTGACAAACAGGTCTCCCACACATCTGCTGCCCCGCTGCTCCCGAGGGCTCACACACAGAGCGGCCAGCTCGGCTCCCGCTCAGTGCTAGAGCTTCACCTCGACGTAGGGCCCAATCCAGCTGTCAGCCAGCTCCCGGAGTGTCCTGTACCTGTGCTCAAACTCCTCCCTGCTGCAGTGGGTGAGAAGCCGGCTGACCTCTGCCGTGAGGAAGGACACCACCAGGGATTTATCCAAAGACTCATTCCAGGAGCTCTTCAGGATCTCCAGGAGGCCATCAGCACTGTCTTGCCCAGCCTGATGGGCATCACATCCCTTCTGCCACTGTCTGCTGAGCATCTCTGGCTGCAAGGTCTTCCTGTCCGAATTCAGCACAGCCAGGATGTGCCGGCAGGGCAGCTGGAAGACCTGGTTGAAGTGGCAAGTGCAGCTGCTCGGGCCTTTCATGTTGACCCTGTGGGCATCCTCCAGAACCTGTATGCTGAGAGCATCCTCCCCGGTACCTATCAGCTGCACGGACTTCTGAACCACTGCGAACTCACTCAGGCACAGTCTGGCAGCGGGCTCTGTGCAAATATCACTCAAAGACTGCTTGATGCCTTCCTCAGTCCTTCTGTTAATCTCCTCTTCACTGTCACCCTCCAGGTTTTCTGTGGCCTCCAGTTTAGCCACAGGAGAGGAAGGATCTAATGAGGACTGAGGGCTCATGGGCTCCCTCTGGAGGAGGAGAGCCTGGGGGGTTTCAGGCTGATGCTGAAGAGCTGCAGGGAGCTGAGGAGCTGACGGTCGACTCTGGAGAACAATCACGGGACTCTCAGCAGCTGTGAGCGAAGCCGGCACTGGCTGCTGCTGCTGAGCTGCTGCTGTGGTGGGGGAGGCCTGGATGGAGCTCTGAAGCAGCTTACCCTGGCACGCCACAGGGGCGAGAGGCGAACCTGAGGCAGGCAGGCTTTGGGGAGCTGCCCAAGCGGCACAGTGATCAGGATGGGGAGCGGAGCACATCGCAGCATCAGCAGGGCTCTTAGAAACACACTTTTGGTAGTGCCGGGCTAAGGAGGTGATGCAGCTCTCCAAAGCGAGCTCAGCGCTGAAAACCTGGCTTAACCCCTGGGTAACGATCTCCAGGTCCCTAAAGTAGTTACTGGCCTCCCCCCAACTCCTCTCCCTGTGTGCAGCCCAGATCTCATCATCGAGCAGCCAGCGAATATGGAGCTGAGGCAGCAAGTCGGGCGCCACGAGGTCCCTCAGGAGCGCATGCATCTTCCTGCGGCTGCTCTCGGTGGCTGCGTGCACGGTGTCGCTCAGGGCGGCCAGGATCAGGCGCTCGACACGGTCCTCCAAGGCCAGCCGCTGGACCTGCTGCTGCAGGCGCTTGCAGAGGTGGAAGACGGAGAGTTGCACCTCCGCTGACGGAAAGGCCTGGGCGAGCGTGAGCGGCTGGGGGAGGCCGGGCCCCACCAGCAGGAGCCGGGTCTCGGCCCAGGCGGGGTTGAAGGCCCGGAACGCCCCGTACATGCGGGCCAGGCTCCCCGCCGACTCGTCCCGCGGGACGGCGAGGTGCACCACCCTGGCCATGCCGCCCTGCAGCCCCGGGGCCGGTCCGGCCACCAGGAAGACGTAGAGGACCCGGCCGGCCGTCCCAGCGGCCCGGTGCACCAGCAGCGCCCGGGGGAAGCGGGCGAAAACGCCGCCCATGGCGGCGCTCTGGAAGCTGACAGAGGCCATGCGGCCGCCCGCGCCCAGCTCGTAGGCCACCAGGGAGCCGCGGCCCGGGCCCGGCGGGGCCTGCGCCATCGCCATCCCTGCCGGGGCCGGGAACGCTCGGCCGCGGCCCCGCGGCAGCACGTCCCCTCCCCGCGGCCGCCGCTACCGGGGGGACATATCCCGGCGTGCCCCGCTCCGTTCCGG